AGGACAACCTATCTGTAGCCAGTTTTTGGTGTGTCCCTTCAGAGGCATAAAAACAACCCTCATAGATCCTCAAAAGGGAGAAAAGGCAGCATTAGTTGTGTCTCCTGGGGATCTCACCTTCAGTGTTCCTGCCCCAGTGATCCAGCACTAAGCTCGGAGTCTGAGCTGTGACTGAAGATGGAGTGTGTTGAATCAGAGTGCTTATGCTTCCTGCTGGGGTCCTTCCATTACTGCTGGGTTGCTCTTCTTCATCTTCCTCCTGGTCCTGTTCCTCCTCCTCTGACATCACTCCATCACCATTGCCACTCCCTAATGCTGCACTGCTAAAGTTCACCATGTACCCCCCCGGGTTGGTAGTGGCTGTGCACTGAGTGTCCATGATGTAGCTGTGACCTTCAACGCAACCCCAAACAGCTTTGACAGAGCCCCAGCACTGGTCCTCCAGAACCTCCTTCAGGTCGGGGCAGGACCGGCAGGCCTCTCCATGGTGGTGAGCCCAGGACACCAGGCTATGGAGGCACTTAGGGTCTGAGGTAAAGGATGGTGGAGCTGGAAGAAAACAGCAGTATGTCTAAACGGAGTAATGCAATCAGTGAACTGTTCTAGGTAATTTCTGTAAACAGAAGGAAAAGCAAAGAAGAGGAAGTGTTTCTTTACTTATTAAGCCATGGTTTACTGAGGACTCTGGGTAGTTTGCATTCTTCCTGAAAAAGAAACAAACAGTTGCTTATATATATATATTTCCTGAACAACTGACCCTTGCTAAGCTCCGTCCCTTTTGGAAACCTCGTGAACTTTTTTTCTGTACTCAGATTAAGTTAGATCAATTACTTAAGTTAATTAGCTAGCCAGCTAACGATTGATGTAGATGTAGATTTTCAATCACAAGGTAGCCCCGCACTAAAGCATACCTTGCTTTATCATCTATTATACTCTAAATGGGACCATCATTTACTAAATGAACATCATAAAACTAGCACTTGAGACCATAAACTCATTAGGAAACTGATAAAGCTGATAAATCAACTCAGAAGTCGAGTAATTTCTCCATAAGACTCCATGGTATCAGTTTTTATTGCAGCCACTGGAGCTGCCCTCTGCTGGCCATTATACAGAATGCAGGTTTAAGACACTCAAGTGGGGACCCTACTAGCTGATGGATCAGTATGTTGGTTAAAAGCCAAGACGGAGCACTCAAGATCACCTAGGTGAGAGTGATGATTAGGTGTCTTTTGGTCTTTTAACCATCTTCAAAATGGGGTGGTTGTCTTTTTCGTCGAAAGCATTTAGATCTAGCATATAGCATATCTAGGTATAGGAGAGGGGAAAGTTAACTGAAGTTTTTACAGAGGCTTGCTCATCTGTCATTGGAGCACAGAGCAAAAAGGGAACTTAGGAAGGGTCAAGTGAAAGCCCTGCAATAAATATATATTTTTAAAGTCACACTTGAACTCACCGGCTTTTTAGGTTCTCTTTCCCAACTGGTGGGAGGTTAACTCTCTGCAGAAACCTGATCAGGATGCTGTGACACTTGTAGAACTTGGCATGGCATTTCTTGCAGATGAACTCAGATAACCGGGGGTCACGGTCCAACTGGACCCCGACCAGTCGCTGGAAGTCTGTGTGGAATAAAAGGGGTGACTGGACCGCAGTGTCTGACTCGTCGTCAACAATATCAATGGAATCCTGAGGCCACTTGTCGAAGGCGTGTCGCAGGCTGCGTGGAGAGAACTTCCCGTGGCAGAGCCGACAGACAGCAGTGGACAGTCTACCTGCTGGGAGATATAACGGATCAGTGTTTTTCTAAACTGCCAGTCATGACCCAAAATCGCCAAATGGAGGCTATTTCTGATGAGTCTCCAAAGGAAAATGAGTCAAGTAGGGAACCTTCTAGTATTGTAGTATCTAGTATGTTATCTTAACAAAAAGAACATCATACCAAACTCCATTCAAAAATATGCAATTTGGACACTTAATTCACGGTTACGACAGTCTTCAAATTAGCAAACATCTGATTAAACTAGGGCTGTAACTAACGATTATTTTCATTATCAATTAATCTGTCAGTCATTTTATTGATTAATCAATTAGTTGTTTGGGCCATAAAATGTAAGAAAATAGTAAAAAATGTTGATCACGGGTTCCTAAGGCCACATCCTCAAATGTTTTGTTGTCATAGACAACAACAAAATAGATTCACATTGAGAAGCTGAAATCAGAGAATTTGGAAATGTTTTCATAAAAAAAAAAAATTGTATTGATTAATTATCAAAACAGTTGGTGATTAATAGCAGGCAACTAATCAACTAATATTTGCAGCTCTAGATCCAACAAGCAGCACTTTGTTAAAAATAACTGTTATTACTGAATTTTGTGGACATTACAAGGGAACAGACGTTGAAAGACTTTAACCATTTTGTGTGGAAGCCAATTTTTGGAATGGGGTCTTTACAAGACAGGAGACAACACATTAGAGCAGGTACTGGAGCCACCCACCTGAAGATTTGGACTTGGTCTCTGTGTGTATCTGTGTGTTGTCAGCTGCTGTCACGCTGAAGTCTAAGTTAGCAGTCTTGTTGTTTGCAGTGCTGTCATGGTAGAAACTGTCTGCAGTCACATGGACGGTCTTCCGAGGTCTCCCTCTGTTTCCAGGCGGCCTCTTCTCCTCACTGACACTCACTGTTGCCTGTGTCCTGCTGGACCTTGGACGTCTGCTTTTCTTCTTCATAGTTTATTCTACACTCCCAGCAGCTGATCCCAATGATGGAGCTCTGCCGCCTGTGCCACTGTAGAGATTTGCAACCAGGGGGGTGGTGGTAAATACAGAGGAGCTTACCTTCCCTCATTGATTTATACAGGTCATCTGAAAATAGATAAATGAACTCTCAGTCTCATTTCAAAGAGGGAGTGTGTGTAGTTAATGTGGGATGGTGTTTGATCTTATCGGTCATGATACGGTCGGAGGGTTATGAGTTGGAGGGTACTTGATACGCGCAAAAGATTTATGAAACGAAATTGTATAAGGTGCTATGGGATGGTAGTTATTGAGGTAAACTCACTTTGCCATGCAGTTTCCCCACTGGTGCCCTGGGTATGTATGTGTAAATGCTGTTAGTTAGCTGGGTAAGTAGTAGATAAGGGGCTAAGGGGGTGGGGCGGTTCTTGTCGGAAAGTTTTGAGATGAGGAATATGTTCACTAAAGTAGTCGCGAGTCAGTATGTTTAAAGAAAAAGAAAAAAAAATGCTAAAACAGATCAGCGTTGCCCTGCTGCATCCTAGAGTATCCTAAAATTGGCCATTGTTGTAGAGGGATCCAGGACGGGGGGGTAAGCGAAAGGTTTGAGTTGACGATATGACAAAAATTGAGAGAAGTGGTACTGGATGGGGGGGTGGATTGATGTGGGATGTGGGGGGGAAGTTTATGAAGTTAGCGGAGGTCGTTGAGGCACGGAGTGAGAGCGATGACCAGGTGTTAGTGTGGGGGGTTGAGTGTGGGTGGAGTATAAGGGACAGGGGCGTAGTGTGTCGGTCACTTGTCTTCAGACGGGTGTTCCTGGTGTGAAGCGTATGAGTTGTGCACGTTGAGTGGAGAAGGCGAGGTGTTAGGATCATAGAGTAGTAAGACAACGTTATGAAGAAAATAACACAAACAATTAATGTTAGCAGTTGCAGTTAAACTCTTACGTGTCGACACATTTCTGTTCACTAGCTACAGATGATTCCTACCAGCTAACGTTAGCTGGTTAGCCTGAGTGAGCCTGCTACGTTTGATAGCCAGTGTGTCAGAATGCGACCGTTAACGTCATGGCTACCGCAGCCCCGTGGCGTCACCTACCGTCAGAGTGTCGGTCCTAGCGCTCGGAGCACATGTTGTTTTTAACATAAAAGATGGGTTTGGAAAACAGCTCTGTGTTCTCAACGCTGCTCCCAGTTGTAAACATTAGAACCCGGAAGTGCAACTGGAAGAAAATGTAGAAGAAGATAGGATATAGCGCCCCCCGCCGTTCATGGAAAATTAAAGCAATCTTTGAAGCAATATCAAACTAATTTAACGAATTAAATGTAAGCCTTAATGAATGCATGGACACTGTGTGTTGTCTTCGAGGCTATATTAGCTATAGTAATGGTTTAATAATGGTTTATGTTCACTTAAAGCAAAAATCCTTCATGCACTGGTCCATTTGGGAATTTTAACCTATTTTGCTTCCATAACATATGGGGACTGGGGACATTCATGGTGATATTTATTAGTTAAAAATGTTACCCTTTTCACCTATAGTGTCTCCTATGAAAGCCCATTTCCGCCAATGTGACAGGGAAAATAACGATTCTGTAACTCATTACAATGAGTTACAGAAATGGGATTCCATATAGTCTCCCCAAACCACAGGAAGCTCGAAATGTTTGACTTCATGCAGCCATGTAGGATGTGGGATATTCCTTTAGGAGCTCTGTATTTTGGTAAGCATTTTGGACAGATATTTATTCTTGCTGAATACATTGTTTTGTTTTAATCTGCTAATACCAACAACAGAACAACATATTTTTCTTTCTTTCTTCTTGAGCTGCTATTTATACGCAAGCAGTTGTCTGATATTCCTAGGTTCTGCATAGTTAGGTTATGTGATGAAAAAGACCAGTGACTCCATGTGTCACAGAGGCAAATGATGAGCCTCACATATTCAAACTCAAGAAAACATGCGTTAAATTTCAACAAATGGAACTATTCTATCCGATTGTGATGGGTAGCGTTCCCTCCCCACTCTAGTTTAGCCACACCCTGCAAACAGTGATTGTCAGCAGGTGAGGCTAATCACTTCTCAGTCCTTAAATGTAGCTGTGTAGCAGTCAGCAGTAGGTTTTGCCTCACCCTATCCTGACTCCACATTTGTTTGAGGGATGCCGATGTCCAACTAAGGTGTAATTGCAGGAATTTAGGAGCTAATTGAAGGTAATTGCTGCTCCCTCCACTAGAAGAGTGTGGTGTGTATGTGCCAGATCCTAGTTGGATAAATTGTTCATGTAACTTGAGGAACTGTTCCCATGACCTAGTTCTCTTGCTACTGCTGTTTTTGCCCTTCTACAAATATATTTATTGTATATGGTTACCTTGTTTTACTGTGTAGACTGTTAATTTTTGATAGCTGGTCTGTGTTTTCTTGGTCAGTTTAGTTGTCTGATTTATTTATTCATTTTCTTTGATAAACCAATCTTGTGAGTTAGTGATATAGTGGGGCTCTTTTTAGTGTTAGTGCAGGTGGGCTGTCATACGCTTACAGGTGGTGGGTCACTGGGTGGAGGGTTTCCCCCCCCTGTCGGGCTTCTACGTGCATGCTTAAGTTGCTGTGTATTCTAACTATGTGCTTTATTGTTTTGCAGTGTGTGTGTGACCTCCTCTTCCCTGTACCTACTGGTAGTGGTGATCCCCCTTTCCTCACTCCCTCACTCCTGTAGGCCTCCCTGACAGCCCCCCTCCCTCTTGCACTGGTGATCATCTTCCTGTCGTGGCATCTATTTAGTGAATAATAAATATATTTTGGTAATAAATCCTAAATTTTAACCTGTCCCAAATTTGATTATTTATGAGTCTGAAATTAAATCTGTGTAAATAAACGTAGTGGTTGAAACTGGAAATTCACCTCTCTGCTCCCTTTTCTCTATACTATAAGAACCTGTGAAAGTGGGTATTCTCTGGGTGAAAGTCCCAGGGTGCGTTGTCGCACTTGCTGTCAGGGTTTTTAACTGTCCTGGTCACAATATTTTATATGATGTGCATAATTTATAAATATAATGAAGATCATTGGTACTCAGCTGCCCAGCATTACTGATATTGGTGAGGTGAGGAGCCTGAACAGAGCCCAGAGGACACCTAGACACAGCACCCACCCAGCCACAGCTTGCTGCATTCTGGGAAGAGGTACAGAAACTCGAAGCACAAAGTAATTTAATAACTGAAATAACTTAGACTAATTATTTTTACATTGCTGTATTGCTACATAACATATTAAAGTAAAAGATCTAAACATGTTCCAGTAACTGTAAATAAGTGGCTGTTAGTCTGCTTGTGTCTTCTGAACATTTTATTGGAGTCAATGGCTTTAGTTTTGTGTAAGAACTGTATATTGTGATGCTGTTACGGCCATAGAGCTCTGAGTTGTTGTGCCTGTCTGTCTACTAGTTTTCAGTTTCTTTCTACGTATTGTTTTTGTTAACTGGTAATAAAAATCCTTGTTTGGAGTGATACAATTTTTCTTTGGGTTCTTTCTTCCCGGGTAAATGTAGTAATTTTTTATTGTTACTCCCCACAACGCCTAGACATTTCAGATGTAACAGATGCCAATAATATTTCTTCATCTGACAAAATATCAAAATATAAAAATCAAAATATCAGCAAAGCAACCGTATTAAAATATTCTAGTAGTCTTTTGTGTGACTGTGATATTAATCTAATGCATCGCAGAGGTCAAGTCATGGTGGATGTTGCTTTTCAACCGCACCTATGAATAATAACAGGTCTGTTTTTACACTGGTGCTACGATGAGTAAAAGCCTTCCGTTGCACATCAAATATTTAAATATAAGAGGGACTTAAACAAGTCAGGTTAGGACTTTTTTGTGGAATAGGCTAACATAATTATAATGAATAAATATATTTCTTAATTTGTGGAGATGTACTTTTTGATTTCAGGGTTGTGTTGTTTAGTTTTTATGTTGAATTTCTTCTGTTTTCTAACATCTTGGGACCAGGTTTTTTCCAGTGTCTGATAATACATAAATAAAATCAATCAATAGGATGTAAAAAGCTCAGAGCATTACATTGGCGGCCCACTGACGATGTATGTAAAATAATATCAGATGCTGGAGGAAACTGATGGTGTTGCAAAAGCATGCAAAGGTGAAAATAGGTCACAGTTGCACTGCTAAACTCGTCTGAAAAGTGCGATAAGATCTTGTGAACATCGTGATACAGTATCTCCATCACTATGGTCTGCACCACAAACATTTGCATAGAAGGGGGAACTGACTCATGGTAAAATAGTAATGTAATTTACCCTGGAGGAGGCCGAAAGCAATATGGGTTTTTTTCTGGTGGTTGGTATTTTGTGTTTATATTTTATATTATTATTATTTTTGTTTACTCTGGTGTATTCTGTCACTAATTCTCAATATTCATATTTATAGTCATATATTGTATTACAATGTACATACTTATATTTTATTATTATTATTATATTTTATATTTTTTTATGTATGTATTTATATGTGTATATATGTGTGTATTTGTATGCATGCATACATGTATGTACATTTGTGTGTATATATATATACAGTTATGGAAAAAAGTATTAGACCACCCTTGTTTCTTCA